CCCCAAAACCCCAAAACCCCAAAACCCCAAAACCCCAGCTTGTTAATAGAGGTTGGGATGAGTTTATATAATTAATCATTAAGTTAAGCAAGCCAAGGATGATTCAAAGCTTCTTTGAGAGTTAATCTTTTTGATGCATCCTTAGACAGGCATCTTTTTATAAAGTCTTTGCCTTCTTTAGAAACCTTGGCGATCCAAGGACTGTGGTAATCAGGCTCTTCATTTATTGCTCTTTCCAAAATTAGGTCTTCATTGTCATCATCAAATGGAAGAGTTCCGGATACGAGGAGATAGCTAACAACTCCAATACTCCATAGATCAACAGATTTATCATATTCTTCTCCTAAAAGTACCTCTGGGGCAGCATATGAGATTGTTCCAAATGGCTCATCGGATCTTTCATTTGGAGCGATAATTTTTGAAAGACCAAAATCACTCAGTTTTATATCCGCACTATCATCTTTCGAGCTCATTAATATATTCTCTGGTTTAAGATCCCTATAGGCGATTCCGTAGCTGTGTAAGTACTCAAGCGCATTGGCTATTTTCTTTACAAACTCCTGGGCTTTTGATTCCTCAATATCAAATCCTCGGTCTTGTAGGTAGTCAAACATGTCTCCACCAGGAAGATATTCAAGGATTAAGAACAGAGTAGTGTCGTTCTCAAATATATCCAGGAGTCTGATTATATTCGGAAACTGACATATCTTCAAAATCTCTATTTCTCTATTTCTGTAGCTCCAAATCTTTGTTAGACATTTCGCTTTTCTGAAGGATTTTGACTGCTACCTTATTTCCCAGTTTTTAAATGCAAAGCACTCTTGACCACTCCAAACTTCCCCTTGCCTATGATTTCCTGAGGATTGTAGAAATCGAAAAAGTCTGCGTATCCGACTACAGACTTCAGAATCTTTACCCATTTGTCTCTCTCAAGCTCCTTTAGAAGATAAAATGTTCTTGTTTTGTGAGGGAAAACTAAGGTGAATGGGAACAATTTTAACTCGCCTTGAAACATTATGAAATCTTCCTTCATAATATACACACCAACTAAGACATACAGGTTCTTATGCTGACTTTCTTTCTTACTTCTGTAGTAATAAAGCTCTCGACCAAGGAGGGAGAACCATTCTTTATTTCAGCTTGTTCTTTTTCTTAGCTCTACGAAGGAGATATCCTTCCATTTTGATGTCCTTTTTCTCACAGAGCATGCAGCTATCTTCGCCCTCCATTACTGGCATTCTCCCGCAAATGCAGATCTTGCCTAACTCTTTTGGCACTTTCTTGGTTCCCTTAAGGAAAGTACTGGGGGATCTCAGAAGGTTATTAGTAGGGTTGTCATCCATTATGACATTCAAGGACTTCTTCTCCTCCTCCAGCACCTTGGTGGCCTTGAAATTTACCTTAGTTTTGGAATTGGGCATTCTGACAGCATTGTAGTCAATGTTTAAATCCTCTTGAAGCTTAGCAATCTCCATAAGTCTCTTAGATTTGGCTTCACTTGCCATGACAGAGGATTTTAAGCCAGCTCCTTCTGCTCTTTTGGAGTCTTCTTTCGAGATTTTCTCATAAGAATCTGATCCTAATGCGTACTTGAGCAGCGCATTTTGAGCATCGTTCTTGACGAGATCTTTAGGAATTTCCTTTTTCTGAATTTTCTCAGAGACCAATAAGGAAGTAGCTAAGAATTTCTTACCCATCGAAGGAGATGCTAGCGGAGAACTCTTAATCTGAGGGGTAGCACTTAAGCTAGGCTTCATAGATTCCTTCAATGTAGTTGCCTTTGTCCCCTTTTCTAGCACCTTTTGATAATTTCTCAGATATAAATAAAAGTTATTCGTTCATGGTAAGGAATTTCTAAGAGTGTTTAGAATACAAAGCAAAGCCTCAGAAGTGACTTCTTGGTTGAACTTATTTAAACTCCTCATAATTTATCTTAGATCTATTTTCAAACATTTTGTCCAGAAGTTCTTGGATTTCTCCCTGGGCTTCTTTCCTGTCTGAGAAGGAAGTCTCAGCTCCTATCCCAGACGTGTATTTCCCTTCTTTTTCACGTTCTTTATTAGCCATTTCTCATATTGGCACGTATGACAGAATAATCCGGATATCTTCTTTGTTGACGAGATAATCCTCATCAAAATCATAAAATTCAAAAATAAGTCTTAGAGATGTATCAAGATGGGAAGAGAATATTCTACTAAACCCTTTGACGAACTCTTTCTTACTGACATAGCCATCTTTATCATCATCAAAGAGGTGGAAGAACCTCTCTCCTACCATACCGGGAAGGTTGCTGTACTCCAGCATTGTCACTTTGTCAACTCCTTTATCCGGATCATCAGAGCGTTGGCAGAGATCGTTATAGATATCGAGGAAATAAGGATAGACCACATTTTTAAGATAATCCTTGCTGTTTATCAGATCAAGCTCTATAATTTCGAGCTTGTCTGATGGCTGTTTGGTCAAACTCTCTGTTGTCTCCATGTTGAACAAACTATATAAATTATATCAACTCAATATTAAAACAACTGGTTGGGGTTTTGGGGTTTTGGGGTTTTGGGGTTTTGGGGTTTTGGGGTTTTGGGGTTTTGGGG